AATTCAAGATATAATTTCTAGGCTATATGAATTCATATTCACTATATTACTTAAATTCTATTGGTTCAATATTTGTTTGCTCATTTGTTTGCTCGTTCACTTGTTCGCTTACTTGTTCACTTGCTTCACGTGATTTAATCTTTATCCAATAAGATATGAGATATTTATAATCCAATAATAAAATATTATGACGAAAGGTTATTATACAACAATATTATTGTTATAAATTTCTATTTTAAAAGTTATATTTAGCAAGTGTATTTATATTTCAAATTTTAGCAAAATTGGATTACTAATTATTGAAAAATTAAGTTTTAAAGTTTAAAATTTAATTTTTTTTAATTATATAAATTTATAAAAAATGATTATAAATTATTATATAAAAAATTAAAATAATCAAATTGAAAAAGTTATTAATTAATAAAATTTTTTATTTTTATTTATATATAATAAATAAATTATATAAATATATTAATTATAATTTAAAAATTTTAAAAATAAAATTTTTTTATTAATAACAAAGTGATATATTTATATTTTTGCATTAAACTATATTAAATTACTTTACAACCAATGCTCCAATTTTGCTAAAATTTAAATATATATTCATTATATATACATATTAATATACTTGTTGAGTATAAATTTCTAAAAATAAAAATTCATAATGATAATACCTAAAATTATTTTTAATTTATAAATATTAATTATATTTTGTATAACTTTTATTAGAAATAATTGTTAACTTTCATTTTTCGTATATTAACGTTTTTGCACTGAATCATATAATTAAATATTAATAAATGAATTATATTGTTCTATTTGTATATAAACAAAAATAAAAAATTTTATTAATTCGATTAATTTGATTTTTTTATATTTTAATTTGTAGTTTTTTTTATATAATAAAAAAAATCAAATTTTTAACTTTGAAACTTAATTTTTCAACAACTGATAATTCAATTTTGCTAAAATTTAATACACTCGTATAATACAAACTTATAAATTTTTTAAAAAAATTTTAGATTAAAACATACTTTATTTAGTATAAATAAGTTGTAAATTTTAATTAATAATTAATTAAAAAAGATTTACTTTTTTTTGGTGTATCTACATTTTGCACTGGATCATATTTAAATTTATTATCAGAACCAGAAATTTTAAATTTTAAATGGTGAATATAAAAAATTTTCACTAGTAAAATTTGTTCCCGTACTACAACTAGATTTGATTTAATGACTGTCTTTGCATTATCAAATGGTATTTTTTGCTTTAAATTAAATGAAACTATACATGAAAGTTAAAATAAGCTGAGATAGTTATAAATTTATGACACAGATAACAATTTTTACTATATGACTGGTTCTTTTTTGCTCAAAACGTACAACATATCATCATCTCGAAGAGTTACGCTAAACTTGGGACACGTATACACGTACTTTAGTTCCTTCAGATCGCCTGAGGAGGTTTTTGCTGTTCGTGTACGATATAAACCTAGCGGTACCACTTTCTTCCCAAGCATGTCCCGAAACAGTTCGCAATATTGAGCGCCAACGTATGCTTGTGGCATAGGTATTTGGAAAACATGCGAGTGGGCTGGTGCTGACAATATTGTACCGGAAGGTAGTTGCAGGGGCGGTGCCCCAAATAACATTTGATGAATTATTGCTACTATATGTGGCTGGTAATATGATTGACAAATTATACTGTCTAACATGGATAATGAAAAACAGGTTCCTGCCATAAACGCGGGCGAATGATGTGCTGTAGCATAAAGGAAAAAAAAACATCAATTATAAAAAGAAAAAAACTTGTTTACATGCGAGAAAATATTTCGTAAATACCCTGCATCTCTTTATCTATAGCCGCGGTATCTTCAGACATGAATTTCATATTATCTGTATGAACAAATTCTACAAATACTTGAATCTTCTCGCCGCACATAGCTTTAATATTCAAAAAGACTAACATTGCAGGTGCGTCTTCCGTTTTTTCGCCATTTCTAAACATATAATTATAATTTTTAATAATAAACATAAAATTATAGATAAATTAAAATAAATACCTTAAGATTCTTGTGGCATCTGTTAAGATGACCTATTAAATCAAATAATTAATATTATTTCCACGATATTTCAATTAATCCTGACTGCATAAATAAATCAATGTTTACCGCTTGTTTAGCATGAGTGACTCTACCACTCTCTAGACCTTCTCTCGTCATGGGATTTCCCTGCACAAAATATACCTGATGAAACTGACTTAAGATTCGAAATTGACTTTGATTTGGTCTAGCTGGCGACAGAATCACTATTGGTGTAATTTTACCAAGATATGATTTACGCAAAGGACTAACAAAACAGTCGAGATTACGCGGGAAAATGGTTTGCGAGTAATCACATAGAATTATATGATCAGAAATATTTTCAATTACGGAGCCTTCGCCTTCGTGTAAAATGGGAATGGTTCCAACGCTTGATGATCCTGATGGATCTATGGTGTGATGGTGATGATCATGATGATGTGGAAGCTCAGTGCCAAATGCAAGTGGAGTAGATAATGCACGTTGACGTCTTATTGACGGTGTTGATTCCGGCTTATGTGGATATTCAAGTTGATCAGGTGTTCTTGAATTAGCTGATCCATATTTTTTATTGATGTCAAAATATCCACCACTGTTCTTGAGTGAGTTAACAGATAATAATGGTTGACTCTCGGTCGAAACATTTCTTGTGACATTTGTTACTATTTGAGTTTTATTATATGATTGTGCTGTTCCATCGACTATTGAAGCATCAGAAGCGATAATAAATCCAATTTCATCTCCCTTTACTATATAATCACCGGGATTTATGAGCACTATATAATTTTTGAAATCTTGATACTTATCATACTGTTCATTCCACTCATCACTATAATTAGAATGCTGTTTGGGAATTCCAATTGCAAATAACACCACCCCCATTATTTCATACATGTTTTCTATAATAATCCAAAACAGGATAAGTCATAAAAAACCCCCTGAAACTAAAAATTTTCAAGATAACTATAAAACTGACCAGTAACAGAAAGAAATGTCTGTCCAGAATAAGCATCCGATAATGTAGTAGTATAAATGCATTGAGATAGTCCGGAAATATAATCTTCTATAGAATCATGATCTAGTCCGAGGGATTTTCTACGTTTCATGTATCTTAACTCGTGTACAGATTCACTTGTAAATGATGTAGTAAGACCGTACAAGAGAGTAGAAAATCCAGGAGTCAAGCACGAATGTGCGAGAATGGCCAATTTTAGTTCATCGATGCATATGATTTGTTCGGGGTCTGATAAAAAGGGGAAATCATTTCAGCGAACTTTTTATATTAGAAACATTTATTTGACAATGCTTACTCAAACTCTCGAAATGAACTTTATTCTCCGGAAGAATGCACTGAATATAAAGTTTAGGTCCTTCGTCATATTTTCTTAGTGCCTAGAAATCGATTGATAATCAATAAGTATTTTCACATGTAGTCCTACAAAAACATATTATTATATATATATATACCATTGCTTTCAACACATTTTCAGCATCAATCGATTCACTTTGTTGCGTGTATTTTTTGGCGAGTATAAAATACGCCGACGCATCTTTTGCCTTAACCTTTTTTAAGCTACGCGAATCGAGCGAACTTCCACGGACGTATTGAACTCTATGAGCGTACATCGGATCCGATAAAAATGTTTTTATCCGATCAATGGGATCAACAGGATTTAAGATCACGACCTTTTTTGGGGAGAAATTTTAGTGCGAATCGAATTTGATTATGTTTAAGTTTAGTAATATCAAACCTTAGTATTTATAATTCCCGGTCCATGCGCCAAAGAATAAAATTCTTTTAAGAAGTGTCTTAATGATGGCAATTCAATCGTCGGCGTTATAATAATAACATGAGGTTGCGGAGAGATTTTTCGAAAAGCTTTGTCATATGGCGATTTGGAACGTAATAATATTGTTAATTCTGATATGGAATACTAAGTTTATCATATGAAGGTTAGAATTTTCTTATTTCAAAAAATCAGTAACATTATAAATACAAAATATTCGAATTTTGATCAATGCATACCGGAATAAATATAAGACCCATTGTAAATATTACCAATAAAAGAATTCGAGGAAAGGCCGAGTCTGGTACTATATCACTTAAATATCCAACAGTTCCCAACATAATAGTTGTAAAGAAAACGGCTGCAGAAAATTAAATTTCAATTTAAATGAATATGTCTGACATATTAGAAAATAAGAATGAAAATATTACCATCCAAAAAAGAAAGGGTTGCATCCTAAAAATCAAACAAAGCAGAAATTGAACGCGTCAATAAAAAAAGAAAACATTCTTTGAATTTAGAAATTCATCAGTTTGCACCTTGTACACAAATTCCACGCCATATAGAAGCGAAGAACCAGTCAATACGAGGAACATAATCGATTCAACAAAGATCAGCACTTTACTAGTCACTTGGCCTAATCTCAACACCGATTTCTCACTTCTAATAAAACAATCGCGCACTGAAAAATGGCATCGAATGAATCGAAACGGATACAAGAACACAAGTTCAGGTGAATCCTTGAAATTCGAATCACTGGCCACACTGAAAACCGGATACACCGTCAAGAAGGTGAGAATTGGTGATACGTGCGTGAATAATGATCGCCAGGAAGTGAAATTTGCAATATAGAATTTCGGAATGTATTCCAATATTAATAATATGGTCACCGTAAATTCAAATAAAACGTTATGTGTTGGAAGTTTGCGCCTAAAGTATGGGGTATTCGAGATGTATATTCCGCACAGGAGAATATTGAGAGCAGCGTCCACCAGCTTCCATATACTTCCTAGTTCCGAGTTGTCAAGTTGTACTGCCCATTGTTCGCGTCGTGACGGTTGATATAACTTGTGATAACGCGGTGGTCTGAGTGTAAAATTGGTCGAAGAGACCGAGAGCAGAGATGGTGTACGTGTTGAAGTTTTAAAATTCTGGCTCGGAATAAGAAAAGAAACGTGTTGCCCTTCTTCACTGGGTTCTGGCGTAGAAGCCAACCGTTCTCCAGATGCCATTTTTTTTCGGTACGTATAGTAAAAAGGAGCTTATAAAAACTAAAAACTACAAGAAACAACCCCGTGTGTGCTCTTTGATCGGGTACACTTTTTCGGTCACGAGAACAGGGAAAAAAGAAAGGCTACACGCACGAAAAACCTTGAGAGGGAAAACTTTTCGAACACTCAATGATGCAGCCGTTTCGCATAACGGGTTATTATTATTGTGTATGTTATTCTTTTTTTCTGGGATAACAAATTTTTCTAGAGTAACCGTTGGACAGAAAAGTATAGCAGACGCCGGTGAAACATCGGCAGCAGATAAAATTGATTCTATTATGCTTCCAAGAAGGGTTGATAATCTTCTGTCAAATAGGATCATTGCAGGAAATTATAAACGATTGATGCAACTCCACGCCTACACGTGTGCATTATCAAGGAACAGATTTACGAATTTACATATCGATATATTTTGGGAAACTAATGTTAATCATGTTTAAACTCGCTGATAGACTACTTTTTAGAAGGGATATGCATTATTTTCTTTAGGCTGAATCATTGTTATTGTTGTCTTTAGATTCGACATCATTGTCGCTATCTTTTTGAAGACGACGGCGTTTTTTGATTTCCGAAGGGCGGTTAGATGATGATGATCCATTAATATCTTCTTCATTGTCGCTATGAACCTCGAAGTCATCATCATCTTTATTACGATTACGTTTATTAGAACGAGATGCACTGTCGAGATTCCAACTACGCGCAGTTTCTTGGAATTGTCGCTGATATTCATCGGCTTGTCTCATTTGTTCTTCTCGTTCCTCTTGTTCTTTTCTCTAATTTTTTTTGCAGAGATTAATAATACTTTTAAGTATTCACGTGAACTTATTAGTAAAAACCTGATTTACCTCTTTTTCTCTTCTTAACCTTTCTTTTTCTTCTTTGTCTGCTAACAAAATAGCACGCTTATGTTCATGTCTTTCTTCAAGGGCCTTTTGCTCTTTTATCTTCTTGCCCAGCATTCCTATTACCGAATCAGCAAACTTTACACGTTGATGGGCTGTCTCAACATTATAATAAATTTTTTCTCGGTGCCCAGGCTTATTCTTTACTTCCTCAGCTAATCTGATACATCTCTCAAATAATCTAAAGATTATATTGCATTGCAGTTAGGTATATTAATAAAGCAAAAATATGAAATGGACAAATAAAGTAAGTAGAAACAATACCTTCGACTGCATTCGACATCGCTCGACTGATACTCTAACATGACGGAAGATCTTTCACCAGTTTCTTGTTCGCTTATTAGCTGAGCTAGCGACTGTTGACATATTCCAATGTTATATGTGATTAAACTATCGCCGTTGGGTTTAGCTAAATATGCCTAAATAAATATAAAAAGACCGGAAATTACAAAATTTGATAGGTTATATTATTTTCAATTAATAAATATAAGTATCTAATCACCCTTTGACAGCATGCTAAAGCATCTTGCATGTGTCTGATGCTTTTCGTAACTTTTCCTGCGATATAATAAGCTCTTGCGAGCCAAAGCAGTAACTGGACATCTTCTCCACGAGTCAGTTTTCTTACGCTTTCGTACTAAAAGATGTTAAAGTAATCACAGTTATCGAAAAAGCTAATATATCAAGGATCGAACAGTAAAGTTCACCTCTTTGATGGCCGCATCGTATTCTCCTAGTTCCACCAATACATGTGCCAAATTGATGGTAATGTCGGGAACTCCCTTATATGCTTCTTGTCGTATCTATAGATAATAATCAATTCTAATATAAACCATGGATCAAAAATACTTTAATAAAAAAATACCGAAATTTAACAACAAAAAAAAACAATTACATGATAGAATGCTTCTTTAGCCTGTTGCAACCATCCAGATTCAGCAGCAAACACTGCTATCCCATTAGCTGCCCAAATGCTTCTCTCTTCCAGTTGCAAAGCTTTCGTAAAGAACTCGTGAGCTTTCTTGTATCGGCGTTTCTTTTCGTCTTTATTATCTTTGATCTCGCGAGCTGTGCCCAACCAGTAACTACCCAAGGAAAGCAACGAGAATATATGATGTCGATCAAATTTTGAGAGGACTTTTTCGAATTGTGAGCGCATTTCTCGCAGGCCTCCCCGTTTGTAGAAATGCCGTCCAAAAGCTGCTCTGACTGTTACATTTAATTCATCGAATTTTAAGATAGCGTTATATATGTCCTCTGCTTTTTCCCATTCTCTGTTGTCCTCGTATATGGCGGCAATACGAAGATGAGCTGTGTTAAATCAAAATGAACATAGCTCTGTTTCAAAAGGTGTAAAATAAGCAAATAATTTAAATATACCATCAACATGCGCAGGATGATCTGTAGCTAAACTATAATATTCTTGAAGAGCCTCTTCCGTCCTTCCAAGATATTCGTTAGTCCGAGCAATGTTATATTTGATAGTTAAGGCTGCCCCTAGTTCTTTTGTTAGATTTGCGTTCTCTAGAGCCCGCCGAAAATAATCCAGTGCTGATTCATAATGATTCTCAATATCGGCTAATAAAGAAAAACGAGGATGTGTGAATTAAAATTTTCGAAAAATAACTTTACAAAAAGCGCGATATGCCTTAAAGACTTACGCTGGCGGAAATAGTTGACCCCTATGTTGTTTAACAATTGCGGAGGCACTATCTCACTTTTATCGATATATAATTCTACTGCGCGTTTATATGCTTTTAAATAGAATATAATATATTAAAAAATGTCATGAAAAAAAAAGCTTTAAGATAATCAAAATTATTACCTAAAAACCCTTTATGCCAATTTTCTTCTTCTAATAATTGTCCTTTAATAGTGAAGATTTGCGGATCGTCAAACTTTTCGTCCTTGACCATTTTTGTCAATTTGTCAAATTCCTTTCTCGCTTCTTCTTTTTCATGTGGATTATCGGCAGTATTGTACAAGTGTGCTTGTACCATAGCAAGAACCTGTTTTTTATTAAAACTCAGTATTATACATATTGGAAAAAACGCGTAATACTAAAGACAATACCGTGAGAATATCCACGTTTCCAGGATATTTATTTAGTAAGCTGTATAGTTTCGGTTTTGCTAGCTTGATTTGTCCTATTATGATTAGAGAATAATAATATTATGAATAAAAGTTTACAATTCGTGATTATTTCGGAACTGCATACCTTTCCTTATGTACACTTGACTCAAACCAAATTGTGCTAGATGGTGTTCTTCATAAGTTCGTGTGGCTTCATTATAATGATGTAAAGCCTGGTCCCAATTTTGCTATACCATAGCAATAAGGAAATGAATAATCAATAATTATCGCATAGTCAAAAGAAAAATAACAAAGCTTATTACCATTAGATGATGCACACGACCCTGCTGATAATGAGACTCGGCAAGTATTGGTTTAGTGTCACTATAAATCTCTGCTCGCCGTGTTATATCGAGCAACTATCAAGAAAAGTCATTGTCGAGTTACTACTATTATCATAATTAAATAAAAAATAACTGCATATATACCGTTGTATATTCTTCAACGTCTTGATCTACTTGATCGATCTGTTGTGTGTAAAACAAACAATTGGCTAACAAGTTTAAAGCAGTCGGATGCTTTGGATCAAGATGATGAGCATGAATTATACGTCTTGTAGCTTGAGCGAGCAGAGAATCTTTCTCCTCTTTTGTAAGATTAACGTCCTTCATCCTATTCAATTCTATTTGCGCGACTAGTATATTGGCTGCTACGTTATTAGGATCCTATCGCAATCATCATAAAAAACAGTTGATGATAATCGAAAAAGAAATTTAAAATCGATAATTGGTCCAATTAAAGACTTTAGCCAACTCACGACTTCTAATGCTCTCAGAAATGCTCTATAAGCATGGTCAGCCAAATTCAATTTGTTGAAACAAAGACCGATTCCAATTCGAGGGTCTGGCCTACATTTAGGGTTCAAGCGGAGAATAGTTTGGTATGTCTCGAGAGCACTTTCGAAATTTCTTCGATGATATTTCACACGAGCCTAAAATGTATTATCCTATTTAACACAAAAGTCGAAAAGTAAACATAAATCGAGGGATACATAAAAAAGCCAGCTAACTTTTCCAAACAGCGCAGGTATATTATTTGGGGCAATATCAAGTGCATTTGCGAATGCACGATATGCCAGATCTGCATCGTTTCTCGCTAAATAGAGTAGCCCTATATATCGGCGAAAGAATTTGATTTCTGAATAGATAGCAAATAATGCAACAAAAAATTAAATACAAATATCTTTTTGATGATACCTTTCCCAACCCAAGTCACTGGCTCTCGTGAATTTATGTGTGAAGCTTCATTGTATTTAGAAGTAGCCAATTCCAGATATCTTTGTTTCTTATCACGCATCGAGCTATGTAGTTCCTTTGCTTTTTTAATATACAAACTCGCGAGAAGATTTACTAGGGGAAGTCGGCTCTGTGGAGTTCCACTTCCTTTCGAAAGAAATTCCAAGACTCAACAATTATTGCAATTAACACTAAAAAAGTGCAATGAAAAAGCATAGTATTGCAAATACCAGATCTTAAGCCCTGTTCCAACAATGTAATAGCGTCGTCAGGTTTATTCTTTTTTATGTTGAAGTATAGCTAGCAAAATTTCAATAATATTAAAATAAGAATGTGCTGGATAATTCGGAAAGGAAAAGCCAGATAAGCCGCTTACAGCAAAGGGCAAGTATTGCTTATAGGTCACGGGCTCGTTTGCTAAAAACCCACAAATTTCACTAGCGTCTTCGACATTCTCGCAATCAATCTCTACAATTTCATCTCGTCCTTGGAGTTGCAATTCAATTTTACTCTGGATTTCAGCCATTATTTTGTATAGAAGTATGAAAGACTCGTTGACCTAATATGAATAATGAGGTTTGAGGAAGAAATTTCCAAGATTTGATAATAAATAGTTAAGAGATTCAATTAGCAAAATCGACAAGACTAAATAATATATTTCAAAATATTTAGTTTTCATATGCAAGAAAAA